GTTATCATTTATCAATGCCTATCGACAACCCATTTTTGGCAAGTCTAATCCATCATTGATGTTGTATGTATCCAAAAGCATCACTTGCAAAACAAAGATGCTAAGACATAGAAATAAAACTATCAGCCCTGTCCCAAACACAAATTCTTAACCTTTAAATACTTAGACAAATATAAAGTATTGGAATAATTAACCAAATGTAATTATTGGAATAATTAACCAATATATTTTTTGGAATAATTAACCAAATAGAAATCAAAAAATAAGCAAAGCAAAATATAAACATGTAAATTTACAGAGGTTAACCCTTTTGTTTTCCCCTTGAGTGGCTTCCTTGTCGGTGAACTACCAAAGCTCCCCGAAGCGCGGCCATCAAGCTCTCTGCCACTCCACCGTCAAATCGCCACATCTTTTCTTTCAACCCATTCAAGCAACTGTTGTTGCTAGCCACCACAACACTTAGCCAAGTAACATCATCACCTTGAAATCAGTATTTTCGTCTTTAAAATTGAATTAAAAAAAAAAGGAAAGTAGAAACTTACACCGGCGAAATTATAGAGAGGTCGAGTGAAACCACGGGTCGAATCGAAGCTCGAATTTAATCGTCGTGAAATTTCCTAACCACGCGTGGTGAAGTGTTGTTCGAAATCGCAAGCTGTGAAATGGGGGAAGTGGAGTAAAGAGCATGGGTTAGGAAAAATGGAAAAAAAAAAAAAAAAAAAAAAAAAAAAAAAAAAAAAAAAAAAGAGAGAAGAAAGAGAAATGAAAATGATTGTTGTCACATGAATGTTCTGGAACCACAGCTGACAGCACTCTTCCAAATGGCTCGGCTAACACGGCTCACTCAACTCGCCTCAACTTAGATGGCCAATCGGCTTGTGAACAGTAACCCAAAACCCACTCTTATAATATAGTTAGAGAAGAAGATAGTTAGATTAGATTAGATTAGATAGATTAGAAGTAAGACAACGTTGTTTTGCGGCAATTGAAAATTTTAAAAAAAGAAGTCAAAATAGCTAAAAAAGTATGATATAATACGCTATTAAATTATGATATTTTGTATTACTTTTGATAAATTATAGTCTAATCTTGTGTATTAATCGTTTGTTAGGTAAAACTCGATTGAAGTGAAATTGGAATAAATAAAAGAAAAGTGACTAAAATGAATTAAATTCAAAGTTTGAAGACCAAATTACAAACTTTCAATAGTTGATTCGGATCATAAAATGATGATTAAAAGTCACATATGATCAATTGGATGAAATCTGAAGTTAAATGAGTGAAATATAATCAAATGATTTTCACAAATCAATTTCCAAATGCACAAGTCAAGTTCCAAATTTTTAGTCTCAAATTGAAACCTTTTTTGGAATAGTTACGTTCGAATTGAAAAAAAATAAATAAAAATGCTATACTTTCTATAATTGTAACATTTTAAGTTAGTTTTCTAATGCATTTTAAATCGCTTCAATCGGATATTGAAAGAGAATAATATGATAGAATTACTGAAAGCTGCACAGAAATATAATTATGCTCACACGAAAGCAATTTTCCTTATTTGATTAAATCTCTTTTGGAATCCAATTTGGACGTGATAGAACCACATGGGCAGTCATGGAATGATCTCGCTCACCTGCCAAATCCTTTCACATCACAAAATTTGTCAAGATATTGAACAACGTTTCATTTGTAGCCTTGTAGGATTTGTTTGTTTGCTTATCCATCTGCTCTTGGTGGAATTGACAATCCAATGGTGAATCCATTTGTTGTTGCTGATGATGTGCCAAGCTTATCCTGGCTAGGGTGTTCCATGATTGTTGGTTTGCTTAGCAGAGAAATGTGTATTGACAGATAGAGGGACTTCTATGTTTACACAGTGAAGAAAAGTGGATAGAATGGTTAAGTGAAGATGGTGGCGGTCGAAGGAGTAAATCATTGTTTACATTTCTTCGATCCTGAAACGGAGAAAGTCAAGATTCTAATTAAGTGCGTTTGGCATTTTTCATTTCTTTGTGAGATTATAAACAGCTTATTTTTGTTCCTTGTCTTCATTATCAATCTTGTTGTGGTTATATTAATGTTAAATGAATTATTTCATTAAGGCTTAGTTGACTTTCATCGTGAAAAGAAATTAGCATTCAAGTTTATTATTAAGTCGACATTAATTTAGATAAAAATTATATTTTTAGTATTAAATAAAAGTTGATGAAATATATGATAGAAAGTGGATAAAAAATTAAAAATTGTGAATATCATGAGATATATGATTGAAAATAAATTTTAGAAAATGAGGACCTTACCATGAAACATTTGGCACGTGCAGGCAGGTTCAGGACATAGACAATGCATTTCTTGGAGGTTATTTTTTTTTTTTTTTTTTTTTTTTGCTTTTTTTTTTTTGGGGGGGGGGGGGGTGGGTTGGCTGTTTCAAAATATTTAAATGCCCTGAGTTGAAAGGATCAAAGTCGATTAGGGTCCAATATTAGTACAAATTCTTGAAGTTATAAAGGTTAAGTACGCTCCACATCTTGTTTATAGTTGCATAATTAGCCCCTGTTTGGTATTGATTTAAATTGAATTTTAATCTAAATCAAAGTTAAATAATTAATATTAACCATATATTTCATAGGTGTCACAATTTTTTTGACAACACATTTTAAAAACTTTTATCAAAATCTACTAAAAATATAATTTTAATCCCCAACAAACAAGAGCTTAATCCAAGGTTGACCATGACCCATGGCCAACTAGGCAAAGGCTTAGGGCCTCACATTTTTGGGTCCTCATAATAAAAGCCCGGTCCATGGTCAATTTACAACCAACCCAAGACATGAGAAAAACTATAGGTCTTAGTTAGGGATAGAAGACGAGCGTGAACTGATGAAGGGACAAAAGACGAAGAGGATCTCAAGAACATCACACGATTTACGATGCACACAACAATAACTATCATAATCAGAATGGTAATTTTAGTAACCAAGGGCTTATGAGTGATGGGATGACTAGTGGTTTTGGATAAAAATTCCTGGTAAGGTAAGTGCAGGGCATAGTTTACAAAATGTTTATGGTAAACATAATGAGATGGGTAGTCAAAACCCTAACCACTCTAACCCTAAAATCAATTCTACTCCTAGTGGATACAGGTTTCTAGTAAATTTTGGAGAAATGGGTTTATGGGTAGGGATGAAATTGTAAAAGGGATAGTTGATATTGCTAGGAAAAAGAAAGGAGATAATGAGATTGACGAGGTAGTGGCTGCAGTTGAGACATTGGGAAAGAGGTTTTTGATAGTGGAAAAGATGATGGATATGGCATGTGAGGTGGTGCAGTTGTGAATGCAGATGGAGTAAGATGATACTTAAGTCGCATCAGAGGATTGTGGAGGCCTTTGCTAAAGTAATTTCAGATATGAAAACTAAGAAAACAAAGCAAATGCCAATGTCTCATTGCTAAATTTGACGTTGTATTGAGTGTTGCCTTGCCTTCAAGTAAGTATCTTGAGATTGTTAATGTTAGTTGAGTAGTGTGATGTGGGATATTGATTATTTCCCTTCACGTAAGCTACATTAGACTCTTTAATAGAATTGTGCAGAAACTATGCTAAAGAAATACCTTAGATATGCCCTCGTTTGACCCCCATTCTCCTTCTCATTTTTTTCTCTCTTATTTTCAATCACACAATCTTCCATAAAATAATATTATATGTAAATAAAAAACTTTTCATTGTTTTATAACCACACATTTTTCAAATAAACATTATTTCAATCATTAAAATTTGGCAAGAATGGGAGCAAACGGGGGGCATAAGGCTTCTTGTTTGGGATTTTGATCTTGTAAATAATCGAGCCAAGTAAGAAAATTGATATAGAGATCAATATCATTGCAGTAGAAACCAATATTTATTGCTAACGCCCCGTTTGGTATCCTTTTTTTTCAAAACCCATTTTTCTCTCTCTTCATTTTAACCACACATTCTTTATTAAAATAATATTACACGTAAATAAAAAAACTTTTCATTATTTCTCAACCACACATTTTCCATCAATTTACTATTAAAAAATACATTTTTATATAAAAATATCTTCCAAACACCCTCTAAGTTTGTAAAAAAATTTATGTTTAAGGGCCTCAAGATAATAAGTCAAATAGAGCCTCAAAATTTTCAGGGTCGGCCCTGTCTTAATCTTGACAAAATATAAATAACATAAAAAATATTGAATAAAACTTTATTTCATAAAATTAGTCATGCAAGACCAATGTGATAATTAAATGAAAGTTTGCACCCTTTTTGTCAAACTATTATCCTGTAATTAATAATGAAAAGTCGAATATCTACTTGCTTCTTTATGTTGGAGATCAATATGTTTATCATGACAATAGATCGAGGACCCATAGTGCAGTTTGTCCTTAAAAATATTATTACAACATATGATTAAGAAAAATAAAGGAAGCTCTCACGTTAAATCAATCTTCCATCAATTAATCTATTTGTACAATAATTTTGTATAATAAATTATTTTTTAAATTGATAACATATCGCGTTTTTCAACCATATTGTCATATTCACTGTACACGAAACATTGCTCATCTTCCGCCCCCCAGGGCACATCCGAGTTGGTGGAACAATCACTTCGCTGGGACGCTGGAAGCAAGGTGGAGAGTTCGATTCCTGGAGTTAACACTGGGAGCCATATGGAGAGGAAGTCATTGGTGTGAACAAACGTCCAGTGAGGAGAGCTCTCTTTGCGGAAGGAGTTCAAATAAGTTGTGGGAACCTGGGAGCCAACAAGGGCACATCCTGCGATTTACCTCCCTGAGCCGTTGAGGGGCCGGAGGTTCAGGGACAAGGATCTAGTCTGACGCAAGCCCGGACACCTTGTAAAAAAAAAAAAAAAAAACATTGCTCATCTTCCATTCTGACCTGGTTCTTTCCCGCGTTAACTCCACCTACGCCACCGGCCCACCCCCACGACCCCTCCATTGCCGGCCCCACATATGATTCTATACTCTCTCTCTCTCTCTCTCTCACATGTATATATATTCGTTTCTCCCAACTCCAACGGACCCATTCAACTCCACTTTACCATTGACTCCATCAAACTCCCTTCTGCACTTTGCTCTCTATCAAAGACTCCATCTTTACATTCTCTCTTATGTCTCTCTCTCTCTATTCAATTGACACCAGTCGCCATGACCGCTGCCTTTCTCTTCCTCCTTTCTTTACTCTCCGTCCTCTCCACCTCCCTTTCTCAACCCCCCAGAGGTAAAACCCATAAGCCCTTTTATCCCTATATCTTTTCGTTTTGCCTTTTTGGTTACTATTGAAAACAACCCGTATAAAATTTTGATATATTTTCAATTTATGAAGTCTAATTATACAATTCAATTTTTCCTTCAGATGTACGTATTGATTGTGGCGCGACAGAAATCTCCACAATCAACGACATAGAATGGCTGCCGGACACCGGCTACGTATCCTCCGGGACTCCGAAGAACGTTACAACACAGGTTTTAAACCGAACTCTTGCCACTGCCCGTACATTTCCATTGAAAAACAACCTTTTCAAGAAGTTCTGCTACGAAATTCCAGTTGACCGTACTAGGAAATACATGGTGAGGACTACATATTTCTATGGCGGAATCGGTGGGTATATTCACACACGGCCACCGGTGTTTGATCAGATAGTTGATGGGACAACATGGTCTATGGTGAATACAACAGAATATTATATGAATGGAGATTCTACATATTATGAAGGAATTTTTAAGCCTACTGGGAAGAATTTGAGTGTATGTTTGGCTGCTAATACACATACAGATTCAGACCCTTTTATTTCTGCCCTGGAGGTTTTGATTTTGTGGGATCAAATGTACAATTCTACAGATTTTAATACTTATGCTTTGAGTTTAGTTGCAAGGCACGGTTTTGGGCTTGGAGGAATGGGAATAAGGTGAGCTTTTGATGTAATTGTGTTTGTTGATTTATGAACTTCTTGCTTCTTTGGAATTTGCTTATCTTAAAACGAGTGCTTGAAAAGTAGAAACATTAGGGGCAAATCTTGGATTGTCTGGACATTAGTCATTAGTACTTGTTTAATTAGGACTTCTTGGATTGTCTTTCCCTTTAAAATTTTGCTTAATTGTGTATGTATTTCTTCTCTTGTATTGATTCGTATCATAATTTGGAAATTCTTAGATGTCTTCCCCTTCAAATTTTAGTTAAAAACTTGTAGCTGCCTAGCTGGTACCCGCTTTCCATACTTAGTTCAAGGACAAAAAATATGTTTGTCTCGGACAATGATGGAAGTTTTTATGTTTTGAGAGTATAAACTTGAAAATATAATAGTTCTGGAATCTTATATAATGACCATTTTTACTGGTAAAAATAATTTTCTTTTATCATCATAATATTTGTTTAAAAAGTATATTATTCATTCTGCCAATTGGCTAACTATAACCATGCCAAATCAACAGATATCCTGACGATCTATTTGATCGTTATTGGGCACCATTTGGAGAGAGTAATTCTCCCGCGTTGAGTTCTGAAAATGTTTCTGTTTCTGGTATCTGGAATCTACCCCCGGTGAGAGTGTTTCAGACACGACTAACAAAAGACCAGCCAGAACCTCTGGTCTTAATATGGCCTCCAGCATCTCTCCCTAACTGTTCATACTACATAGCACTTTATTTTGCAGATGATCTTGTTTCAGTGAGCTCAAGAATGTTGGACATAACCATAAATGGGATAACTTATTACAATAACCTTAGTGTGACTCCAGCTGGTGTTGTTGTCTTTGGAAATTTTGTGAGTCGTGAGCTTTTTTTTTTTTTTTTTTTTAACAGTTACCTTTCTTTACTTTAATAGATAGAGAAAGATTTTCTTACAAGACAGTGTATACCAGATTTTTTTGCATGACAAAGTGACTTGAATGCTGTTGAATTTTGGCATTCATGTATTGTGGACAACTTTATGTTATTTAAATTTTTATTTCAAGCCTAATTTCTTCCCCTAATACACATTGTTTTTCACTTCAGGCATTTGGAAGACAACGGGCTTCATGGACAGATTCCCCCTTCGCTGGGAAACTTAAAAAACTTGCGTGAGCTGTAAGTTCTATTCCCAGCATTTTGTCTGAGTTGAAATTCAATGTTTCATGCAGACATCTATTATCACATTCGAAAAATGCTCATGTTACTATTTACAGTCACATGCACTATGGTTGCAATCCATAATACTTGCTCAGTGGTTTTCTCACCGTAAACATTCATAGTTTAATCCCTTCACTAGGAATCAGTGAAATGTTTTGTTAGGTCCTCTCAAATAATCATGGGAAGGATAGTTCTAGACATGATCGTTTTCACAGAAGTCATAGACCAGATCCAGTAACCTTAACTTTTTTGACCTTTCCCTGCAAGTGTCAGTACTAAATCACAGTTTTCTGTGGCTTAGTAATGAATCAATCCTGATTATATGATGGTCTCTAAATGGGGAATGGACAACGTGAATGAGCAAAGTTCAACCAAATTCTAAGTTAAAGGCCGGTTTATTCCACAAATGTGCGAAGTAGAAGTGTAGATACACCCCATTTCAGCCAATCTTGCAGAATACTTTATGTGATCTTTCTTAATAGAAAATGTTGCATTAGCGCTGAAAATTCCAAGCTAGAGAGAGTTTTCCAGGCTTATTTTCTGTTATCTTTATTTTGTTTTAGTTTACATATTTGGAAATGGGCATAGATGTGGAAATAGAATTCTTGTTCCTTCGCTGGCTATGGGCTCTGACATGAATTCATTTCCGTGTTTAAGAAGGGAGATTGTTTTTACTCAATAAAAAATTTGGCGTACTAATTTGTGGTCATTGTTATCAGTTTCCTATATAACAATAATCTGACCGGCCAAGTACCAAGCAACATTTCTGGAGAACCTGGATTGGACCTAAGGTAATATTCCGTTTGCTGATGTACATTTCCTCCATTGCTAATTTAGACGATTAATTAATTCAAGTATGTTCTTCACAGGGTTACTCCCGGGAATCCCTTTTTGATACTGCCACCATCATGACAACATCATGTAAACTAGTCGCTAACAACCACGCACGAGTCTAACGAGCATTCCCAAAACTCTCCAAATCTTGGAAGTAAGACTATGCCTCATCTTTCTAACCACATTCATACCGCTTCTTTTGAGCATCAAGACTTGTTATCACTGCCAGCATGTATTGTTTGATTGACAAATGAAAATGTGCGTCAAATTGTATATTAGCATGATGTTTATATCCAGTCATTTTTTGAATGATCGTCTCTGTATCACAATCTTTATCTGTATATTTACAAGTACATACGTTTTGTATACATTACTCGTAAGCAATAAGATCTTTGTAACTGTGTGTTACTATGCATAGTTAATACTTTGTATTCCCTTTTCTGTTGGATGAGTTTAGCTGGAATCAGAAGTTCCATGTTCTTTGGATCATGAGTCCTCATCTCTTCATAGAAAAGCTAAAACAAATAATTAAGCCTTGTTCAAAGGAAATCTGTGGTCGGCTCATTTTTTGTCACTCCGTTCGATTCATTACTAGATATCTAAAGCAACTACAACAATCTCTATTAGTTTTGGTTGACCCCTTCTCCTTCAGGTCAATCTTATTAGAATCAATGGATATCAATTGCAGAAACATTCTTACAGAAAGTAAAGTCAGCATCTATATTGTAATTAATAACAAAACTTACTTGCAACAACAATTTATCTAAAGAAAGAGAACATGAAATCAATTCTGATTAAAAAAAAAAAGACCAAGGAATTATAACATCTCTACAGATCACCCAACAAGCAGCGACCAGCTTCTTGTTCTTACCTCTCTAGTCTTCCTTTCCTTATGGAGAAAAGGGGAGGCAGTGCACTGTTTTTTCCTTGTGTGCAAATAGGAACATTGATAATTGGTCTTATATGCATACTTGCGGATCTTGTTCTCTCCAGCCCTTTCTTTGTTCTCGTCACAGTCTTGTCTCGAGGTCCTACCCGTTCTTTACTTTCATCAACTGGAGGCACGTTCTCCATTGAGCCTCTAGAGGAGGAGGAGGAAGATGATGGAGACAAGGTAGAAGCGCGTTGTTTTTTCAACTTTAATAATTCTCTCCATAAAACAGTGCATTTAGGAGGTCGAGGAGAGGGATCATCATCAAGAAACCAACTTATTCTGGCTTCTTCCTTGTTATTAATCTCTTTCCCATCTGCTTCCTCTTTAGCATTCTCCGTTTTGAGGCTAATCTTGTTGAGTTTCTCGGAATGATGCATTTCGCAAAGAGGCAGCAAGTTACCTTCGCAAAATAGCTCGTCTGCGGTAATCATGTTTTGGCTCGTTAAATTCGCCGAGAGAAACTCAAATTCTGCGTTAAATGCTTTCTCTCTTTCTTTCTTCTCTGCAAGAGGATTTGGACATGTAGAAATGAAGTTATCTTCCTCAAGAAAATCTGCAGAGAATCAAATCCGGGGACTCAAATTCGGTTCAGTACATTTGGAGCTAGCCTGAACAGTTTCTGGGGAGACCATTTTAGAATGAAAAGAAGAGAAGAAAAGCCCGAAGAATAAGTGAAAACTTTGGGATCACAAGTTACTTGTGTTAGAACATGTGCATGAGGTTTTATGCTTTATAAAGGGAGGTAAAAATGGAGATGATCTATTCTTACATTATAGTTTTGATCAAAAGTTTTTCCTGGTATATGTCTGGACGGTGAGAATATAAAAACTAAGTGGTCTGGTGAAGCTGAAACAGTGAACAAAGGTTGTTTATAGAATATGGGGACAGCACATAGACACCTTGGGGGCTAAAGACAAAACCTTTTCAACAATGCCATTTTACTGTATTTTTGGATTCATGGATCTTTCTTTGCCCTTAACATGTCCAGTAAGTGACTTTTTTTTTTAAAATTTGATCTTCAATTTTAGACGGATCGAATTGTTTGTTTGTGTTTGTCGAAATCTGATACCATATAGTTGACTTCAAATTTATCGGGAAAAAAGCTTCATGACAATAAAGTGATGTAGCCTTGGTTTTTACAAGTCAAAATTTATTAATGGCCACCTTATCTCTCTCTACTGCTATTAAGTGATCAATGTACCATTGCTATTCTGGAGCTGCACAATGAACAAACAGTTATGATATAATAGACAGCTATTGGGTCCCTCGCTGAAATTATGTTTTCTTTTTCTTTTTTTCACTTTCTAAGTTAATTATCAAGAAATTTTTCACCTTCTTAAAGGCACTACATATTTCCATATGCTTCTTTCTTTAATGAATTAGCAGGGATACACATCAAACCTGATGATTATGTAAAATCTTAAATAACATCATATTCTGTCACAGGCATTTGAGATATCAAAATTTCTGGAAAACCAACCTTGTATTAAAGAATTACTGTCTTGATTAGTGGCAAAATGAATTATTAGATATGTGGATTAGTCTAAGAGAGAGATAAGCTGTTCTTGTTCTGACCCTTATTACAGAGATCATAATAACATGGCATGAGTCCTAGGCATGTGAGCATGTGACAAGACTGTATTTCCCAATCAAACCAAGATCATGTATGTATTGGATTTTTGAGTTTACAAATGTACCCTTTGGAGAGTTCAGCTTCTTGCTGGTATTTCTTGTAATTTTTTAAATTTGGGTATGGAGTTTTTTGTCATTGTATAATACAAGTTGTAGTTAATCATGCCTAGTACTTGAAAAGCTTGGATTAAGCTTTGGAGAGCTAATGTGTATTAGAGAAGCTAATCAACATAGGGTATATCTTTTTGTATGTCGTGTATGTACTGTCATAATAATTATTATTAATAATAATTAAGCACACTAGATTACACAGAATAAGCAACTCTCTCCTAGGTTTGATTTTAAAATATAAAAAAAAATCCCAATATTACATTAGGTAAAGATTCAATTTTCGAATATAATTGATGTTCATTTTTGAATGAAAAAAATGAATTAGACCAACATGTGAGAAGGACATCAAAGACAACTCGAAAATAAATGAGGTACAAAAATAATTAAAGATGAAGCATTCAAGTCTTATTGCTCATTTACGAAGATTGTGAACCTATCAAGTAATTCAAGAAATATGAATTCAATGTGACAAATTTGAAACGCATATGGTATCATTATTCTAATCTCGTCGTCACTCAATTAGAATACAATTATTCTACTTGTACATAATATTTCATCCATAAAGGTATCCATATACTCTTATGGATGAAATATTATGTACACCAAGTACTTCTCATTAGAATATTGAGCATGTGCCATGTATTTGATTAAAAAATAAACTCACGCAAGGCAACTCGTTGAAGATGAAATTTAAATACACTTGATATCAGTACAAGTAAATATTTTTGTTTTGAGTTCTTTCGTTACTTATTTTTAAATACTATGCACATCTTAAATAATTAATGAAAAATGAATTTAATTTACGGCGTGTACATTTAGGGCTTGTTTGGGAGAGATTTTTCCTCCCAAAAAATTGATTTTTTGACCGTTATTTCACTATTTCAGCCGTCATATTTGACTTCTTCTCTCACAGGTGAATTCCACTTTTCTCCTAACAGTCAAAAAATCAATTTTCAAAATCACTCACAAATAAGCTCTTAGAGTAGCAAGTAGGTTTCGGCATAGCACGTTTAAAACAAGATTAACTTCTAAGGTTATGAAGAATGATTAACCTGTGCTACAAATTAAAGATGGTAGACTAGGATGAATCTTACATGAATCATTCATGTCTTCACCTTTACTTGCAAATCAATGTGCAGTTTTGAATGAAAGGTCAAGAAATGAAGATACTAAAGCAGACTGCTACAAAGAACAGACAACTGAAAAGATAAAATTTAAATAAGAATTAAAACTGTTAAAAAAAATAAATCAGTTTGAAATAACAAAAGAAGTGCGTAATCCATAATCTAAAAACCCGGGAAAGATCCCTAAAGCTAGCAATGTGCTTCAAATTTGGGTCTAATAATGATTAATAGCTTCTTCTTCTTCATTTATTTTATTTTATCTTTTTCTGAACTCTACTTCATGTATATTATGGAATTTATCCTTGTAATAAGTGAAGTTCAATTTTTATCGCGAGATATGTCTGATAACTTACAAAACAAATGCCCACTTAATAAAATCCCCCATCAATTTTCTTTTCGATAATTTGTATATATGAGAATTGAAGAAATTTTCTGATCCTTACCAGTGCTATTTAACATAATTTCTTGTCTATAATTTGTATATATGAGATTTGAAGAAATTTATTGAACTTTTTCGGGTTGAATTACTATATACAAAGTTATTTATGCCGTCATTGTTTAAGTAGTTGAGAGTTTTTGGTTTTGTTCTTCATTTTCTCAAGGGTTACAAGTTATCATTATGTGATAAGTTCATTATAGATAAATTAAATAAAAGACTCAAAACCCTTTTAATTGGACTTATAATAGAAGACAAATTAAAAGCATTTTTAAGAGATTATCTAAATACAACGTGCACTCCATTTTAAAGAGTCAATTGACATGACTCGACTCGAACATTACTAATAAACTCAAAACGTGACGTGCACAGATTAAGGATACTAACTAGATGTCAAACCCATCAAGGCTATTATACTATGTAATTTATTATGACTTATTTTTAAGAAAATTTAGACATTTATCTCTCCTTTAATTTGGACTAGCCAACCTCAAATAAAATACAACATATACCAACACAATAATCTAAACAAGTTGTGTCCTCAATAATCATAATAACCAACACAAGAGAGACCAGTCGAATTTTAAGACTTTCATTACTAAAACAATGTAAAATATGCCTAATGAATACAAAGCACATATTTGAAATGGTTGGCCATTGATAATAAAAACAAAAATAAAAATCGGGGTTAATTTCGCAAACGGTCACTGAACTTATGCGAAAATTACAAAACGGTCATTGAAATTTTAAACTTTTAGTAATGGTCACTTAAGTTTCTAGGCGCTTTCAAAAACGGTCACTGAAATTTAAAAACTTGGAGGAACGGTCACTAAAATTTAAAATCTTTCAAAAACGTTCACTAAAGTTTAAAAACACTTTTTCAGTTTTTTGGATTACTTTTGTGACAAGTTTTGAGCCACTTCCAATCATCGATATTGTCGAATTTTGATACCATTGGAAAGTCCACATTTTCTTCTTTAATTCTGACCCAAAATCTCTCCATAACTCCAAAAAATTCGATCGAAAAATCTTCGAAAAGATCACCCAAAAATCTGAAAATCTGCCCAGATTTTCAGGATTTTTGGGCAACTTTTGCTGCGATTTTCAGGCGACTTCCAACCAAGCTCGTCAGATTTTGATATCGTTGAAAAACCTACAATGTCATCTTCAATTACCATCCAAAATCTCCCCAAACTCTAAAGGATTCGGTCGGAATAAACCCACAAAGTCGGCTACCCAAAAAGGCGAAAATCTGCCCAGATTCAGGATGCTGACTTTGTGAATTTATTCTGGCCAAATCCCTTAGAGTTATGGGGAGATTTTGTGTGGTAATTCAAGAGGAGATTGTTGGTTTTCCAACAATATCAAAATCCGACGGTCTTGGTGGTCGGAAGTTGCCAGAAAGTTACTGCAAAAGTCGCCCAAAAAACTAAAAAAATCTGCCCATATTTTTACCTTTTCAAGTAACCAATTTTGTGTGTTTATTCTGGTCAAATCCTTTAGGGTTTGTGGGAGATTTTTGGTGGTAATTGAAGAGAATATTGTGGGTTTTTCAACGGCATCAAAATCCTACAGTATTGGTGGTAGGAAGTTACTGAAAAGTTGCTTCAAATGTAGCCCAAAAAATCTACTTAGATTTTCGCCTTTTTGGGTACCCAATTTTGTGGGTTTATTCCGATCGAATCCTTTGGAGTTTGGGGGAGATTTTGGGTGGTAATTGAAGAGGACATTGTGGGCTTTCCAACGATATCAAAATTCGGTGGTCTTAGTGGTCGAAAGTCGTCGAAAAATCGCCGCCAAAGTTGTCCAAAAAATCTGAAAATCAGTGACATCTGTTGAAGTTACGAGGAGATTTTAGGTGGTAATTGAAGAGGATATTGTCAACTTTCTAACGGTATCAAAATTCGACAATATCGATTGTCGAAAATAGTCTAAAAGTTGCCACAAAAGTAATCCAAAAAATTTAAAATGTATTTTTAAATTTTAGTGACCATTTTTGCAAGTTTTTGAACTCCAATGACTGTCTGAAAAGCGCCCGAAACTTAAGTGACCGTCACTGAAAGTTTTAAATTTCAGTGACCGTTTTGTAATTTTTTCGTACGTTCAATGAAGATTTGTGAAATTAACCCAAAAAATCGTATAAAAGAAGTGGAGAAATCAATAAATGTTTTTAAAAATACAAAATGAAAAGCCAAAATAGAAAACATTGATGGAGCACATTAAAAAAAATTGCTCTTTAAATTTAAATATGCTCTTTATTATGCATAAGATACTATTTTATAATTAAAGAATTTCTTGAAGAGATTTATTGAGAAATCCACCAGCCTATGAAATTGTGCCACTTGTTACTTTTTGTCACGGTGGTAAACTTGAATGTACAAGTTATTAAATTCAGACCAAAGCCTAGCTGATCATGAGTGTGTTTGTGTGAGATAGAAGTTGACTTTGGTTGGGACTTAAAAGACGAAAATAAGAGGGACTTTTACTTTATCAGTATTTAGTAGTATTAATTAGTGAACCATCAAGGTTTTTCTATTATCTTTTTACTATTAAAAGAGGGAATGTGCAAGTTACTATTTGTTTATGAAGTATTTTGTATTTCCATTTTACCCTCGTTCATCTACACCATTCTTATTTTACCCTCCAAAGCTAACACTATTTTACCATCTCGAACTTGAGGGTTCAATGATCCTGATACAAAATATGGCATTGCTGATTGCTTTCACACTTGAATCCAACGTCTATTACTTATTTTACTGAATATTTACTGTTTATCTGACACTTGGTAGCCTCCTTTGTTGACTAGAAAAAACACAAATTTTATCATTTCTTCAATCTTCCCCTTTCATTTGCCTTCAACCTATCATCCTCCTCTCTCATTTGGAAAATAATTGGAGCTCCCTTTCATTATCTCTCATCTTTTCTTTACATCTAATTCCACAAAGGGGTGCTATCAGTTAATATTTATTTCCTATTGATTTCTGAAAATCAAATTTCGATGGAGAGGAGGAAGGAGCGTTGAATTGAATTCTATACACACCGTCTCTTCTAACAAAAAACTTGAATCCACTATGGCGTTGGCGTGTTGCCCTTCATGGAAGCAGTAATCGGTATGTTTTTCTTTATCCATTACATGTATATATTAAGCGTGAAACTATTTTTCCCTTTTTTTGAAACCTAACTCGTTATTGGTTCTTGGAATTGTTGTTATTTATATTCATAGTTTAATTTTCATTTATTGTCCTGAATATTTATAAAGGATTTTATTACCTTAAACAAATTGTATATGGATTAAATGTTGTATGATTGTGCGTTATTCCAATTATTTTGTTACACAGTCAGTTGTATTTTAGTTTTTCTTTTAAATTCTATCCAGCTTTAATTTTTTATCAAGACAAGATGTGCATTTCTTAGGCTTTGCATTAACTTCATGAATTTATTTACCGCAAGATTACCTTGTTTCTCTTGTAGATATTAAATGTTATAACTTTATTGGTTTCTTTATAATGCTGTACATTTTTCTTAGTTTCTATAATTTCCATAATTGGGGAATTTTTTT